TTCTTTTAAGTCTAGGCTTCATATATCACTTTAGCACTGTTCATCTCGTGTAACGACTTCTGTAAAGAACAGTGAAATATCCTTTTTCAAGCATCATGGGGAAAAACACGTGAAAAAATGGAAAAGTGATTAAAAGACAACACATATTAGAATATTTTGATAAAATGAGATAGTTTTCAGAATCAAAGATTGTATAATTAATGTACGATTCAGTTGAAATAAAGGCTAAAGAAATGTATTTATAAATAAAATTTTCCTTTAATAAAAGTAATTTATTTATTTATTTATTTATTTAGGTATCAAATAACTGCTTCTATACTATTTAACAATAAGTCCACATGGATTTCAGAAGTTCCTCTAAACGTTTTTTTCACTTAATCTAACGAGAAAGGAAGATAAAGCCGTTGTTCCGATCAAATTTCATAAGAAATATGACTTCTTTAATTAATTAAAATATTCTATTATAAAAGCTAATGGATACTAAATGCTGTTGGCACTTTCAGTTTAGTTTCATAGGCCTACTCCCTTACAAACAGCCATAAGAGACATTTCACAAAGCACGGAAAGTATAAAATAAAAAATAAAAGCATAGAAAACTTACCCTTTAAAATTGTTTAGATTAAACACAAGTTTCTAAAAATACCCGTAGATTTGCATGAACTGCGTTAGCAGCCTAAACACACAGAGCTCATGAACATGCGTCACGAAAGCTGTTGTGGGGTTAGAACCTCCCCTTTATATTACGTATTTATTTACTCACTCATGGAGCTGAGCCCTTCCGGAGGAGCCGCCAACTCTGCAGCTACTCAAGAACTTCCCAGCATTTTATGGAACCTGAAGGTTTATTGCCGTGTTCACAACAGTCCTCCACTAGTCCCTATCATGAGCCACATCAATCCAATCCATGCCATCTAATCCTATCTCTCTAAGATCCATTTTAATATTGTCCACCCACCCACGCCTTAGTCTTCTCAGTGGGCTCTTTCCTTATTAACTTCCCACCAATTTCCTATATGCATTCCTCTTCTCTTTCATTCGTGCTACATACCCAGCCTACCTCATCCTCCTTGACTTGATCAATCTGATTATACTTGGAGAAGATTACAAGTTATGACACCCCTCATTTCCCGTTTATATTATTGTGTTAAATTATTTAGTTTGCATGCCAGCCGGGATACTAGGTATTCTGGAACTAATTTTCGTTATTCACCTCAGACTCTTAAAGCGAATGCCTGGACTGTATCTTGAAATAATTCAAGTTCAATCAATACAGTGAAGAAAATGATGTAAAGCATCAATCGAAGAATTTTATTCTTGTTTATACTATAACCTTTGTTTTGTATAATGTAATTTATTTTATTTTTAGGCCAAGTATTTTAATATAATTAATATTATTGTATCCAATTTTATTAGAACTTCAGTTCAGTGGTTGTGTATATGTTGGCGATGTATTTTCCTGATGATGGTTTTGGTGGCCGAAACATGTAGCAGAGTCAGACTAGGCATTGACTTCGATATAGTTGTGTTGTGACGGTTTTAATAAAGAAATTGTACAGTAAAGAAGAAGCACTTTAAGGGAAGGAATTCTTCTCTTCTCGGATGTACAGACCGACACTTCCGGGGCCCTATCCCACAGGCAGCGGGAGGTTTTACTTCAGGGTTAGTGTGTCCGCAGTATGAAGGTGGCCACTTGCTTCCATCTAGGTTCACAGAGCTATAGCACCACTCCACTCCATCAGCGTCTTCATGGCGTAATGCTCAACTAAAACAGACTTTATCCAACATGGCGGACAAAATGGACCCCAATTTCTGTCCAAACAAAGAAACCCTTGTTTGTCCTTTGTATTGCAATCTGACAGCGGAGTTTTATAAATGTTTTTAATAGAAGAATAACTTACAGAGAAGGCCTGAAAAAAAAGAGGTTTCTAAAATGGCGTACAGGAACGTCCATTCCACTATCAGATCCTGTAAAAACGAACCGTGGCTGTTTACCGCATCAGCAGAATATCTGGGGGTCTGAATGTCTAAATGTTGACATTATTTATTGCAGTTGCTCTAAATCTGTCATGGCGGCATTTAGTTGTCTCTAGAGTAATTGTATGACTACCGCAGGCTTCCAAATTCTTATCTGAAGACATTACTCTCATGATTTATACTACCAATGTGTCACGTGCGTAACAGTTTTTTAGGCAGTGTCGCCTGTATATCACATTCATTATGGGAAACTTACTATAACTCAAACAGGCGAATTGTTCTAACCATAGGAAAAATTGGAGTGAAGGACTCTCATTCTCCTGCTTATCTTCTAAAAGTTTGTGACAATCATCTGTTATTATATAATTATCCATTAATGTAAAGCTAAAACTATCAATATAACAGGCCGTGAAGGCCCATAGGGTTGTGAGACGTAGAGGCTCCCATATTTTCTTTAGATAATCGGCTCACAGCAGTGAGGTTATCAGCCTTACGCACCGGCCTCTCTTTGACCCCCAGGAAGATTCCTGGTACTCATTTCTGTTAGAGGCTGAGTCGACCCCAGGGCCATAGTGCGGCTGGAAAATTTAGGTAAAATGAAAAAATTCAGTGACCTCATAGGGAATTGAACCCGCTACCTTCCGGCTTGTACCATCGTGCCCCAACCAACTACGATACCGCGTGCCCCCCACATTATCCATTGTTTTAGATAAATTTAAAATTAGACGAACTTTCGAAAGCTGGGCGTGCTTCTATCATCAGGTATAACTAGAGTAAGGATCATACTCAGTTGGGTAAAATATACAGAGTTAGTCTAGTGATCGACACTAGCTCCGTCTAGCGGATGTAAATGAGTAGGATCCTTAACCTTTTTCATACAAAATGGTGGAAGCAGATCAAGTTTCTGATATGTCGTATATGATTTTAAATTGGATTAAGAAAATGGACATTTTCAGCATAAAAATGTGGCAATTTTGTCCTCCTATATATCGTAATTTTTTAGGTACAGGACGAAGTGACACGTAAGTGTGTTGTTGCGTGTTTCTAAGTGTTAATACATATGGGTCTGGACGTTTTAGCGGCTGTGGTAGTCTGGCTTATGACACGGTGCTCTCCAGATAATGCAGTATTTTGCAGCTTTTTGGAGGAGAAGTTGCCTCTGTATTCAAGTTATACATCGTAACCTTAAGTTCTATCCTGAAGATAGGAGCAGAGTGTTCCTCCGAAAACTTTCTAACAACATACAAGAATACGCAGTGGCATAATCTAGAAGATTTCATTAAAGTCTAAATGTAATGCAGTTTAATTGCATATCCCACTTTGTGTCCAGGCCGTAACATTTGTAGTGGTGGGAGAGACTATTATTTTTACTACTTTATGCACGGGAATTTTTCGGTAGTGCAACACGAGCAAAACAAATCACACACACACACATATATATATATATATATACATATTGTCACGTGTTGGATGTATTGCGCGACAAATAATTTCACGTCTTGGATCAAGCGAATTTATTCCACTCGCTCTTACATTTACACAATTTACAATCTCCCAATTACTGCCATCGGCAGCATTACAATTACTTCTCCTGCTTCCATTCACTCCGGCGAATGCTAGACTGCAACTGACTGGTTATTCCCTCTCCCTGACGAATACTCCTCTTATGTAGCTTCCGCACTGACAACATGGAAAACAGTTATGTGATAGCTTTCACTTTTGCGTGACGTCGTGTTTACCGATTGCCTAGCAACAGTCGCTACACGGGCTCCCCTGTTGCGAGACGCCGTGTTTACAAAGGCTTTGCTGGCCAACGCTGCGTAGCAACCAGTGCGCTTCGGCTCGGCTCGGCTCGGCACAAACACCGCTTTCATTACTGTTGTGTAACCTCGTTTCCACTGTTGCGTAACTTGGCAACCGACCGTTTATTATGGGCCTGTCTTCGTGGTAACTCGTTCCACTTCCCGTTGCCCAGCAACGGTTAGACATGTCACAATACAATACACAACTGCCAGTACTGGTAGAATCATGACACCTATATTATTATCCTATGATTCATTATCTAGTCACGTCCCTTCTCATCCTTCTTCACGCAGTTCGCCATTTTTCAATATGTTTTTCCACCAAAACTCTGTTTTCATTCATTATCTTCTCCGTGTGACTTACACGTATGGCCTCACTTATCCGAACAATATTCTGTTCCTCATATAAACTACAAAGTTTCACATAGGTGATATACTCAATTGTAACCACCCTTGCTTCTTTCCCCATTATACACTTGCCAAAGTATATTATGCATTGTTACTCACATTGTTACAAACGTAACTGACTGTAAACACAGGTACTTTGAAGGTATACGCTTTGTTTACTCATGTATCCGTGGCTTATCAATGACCCCTGCAGTAGCTAGACTACACAGTGTCAAATGGATGGATGAGAGGCGAATGATAATTTGGAAACGATTTAGAAATAGGCGGTCGTGGTCTGATCGAGATACTATCCCAGAATTTGACTATAGGGGTTGAGAAAACTCCGAAAAACCTCAATAAGGATAGCCGAGATTCAAACCGAGCACCTCCATAACACGAGTAAAGAGTGATACCGCCACGCCAACATATATGGTTTAACTCATTTAGTCAATTAAAATCTGTAGTATTTTCAAATAAGAATGAAAAATAATAAACTGTGTTCCTTCTGTAGACCTAAATGCTGTAGAAGTAAAGTTACAGCCAAGATTTATGTACACAGATTTGTTCAAATTACTGAAAAACGTGTCACAGCTTAATATATTTGACTCTCTGCACTTATCACAAGCTGCCACTGATTCTCTTCTACCACCAGTCTGTAACTTATCACTGATTTTAAATATAATTTGGAAAAGTAACCAGATATATAATGGTATCTCATTATGATATTAATTCTGAAATATGATATATGTCTTTATGCTATTCAAGATTCGTTATACATTAAATTTTAAACATTTATATTTTTCAAAAAATTGTACAATTTGTGGAATAAATGAGGAGGCAGAAATAAAATGCAATAACATTCTCCATTACTTACTAAAACAACAAAAATTAACTTAGATAATGTTGTTGTTTTGCTGTTCATAATCATGTAAATTGGATGTACAAATTTTAATTACATTTCTAAAATATGACACATTGTATAAAAATGTGCATTCAATATACATAAGTAATACTGTATGTATTTCTATCAATCTTGTTAATTTTAAGCATATTTACAGAGGTAATATAACTTTTCTTTCTCATTAATTTAAATAATTCTTGCTTTGCGCCCGAAACAAGTATAGGAGCAGTTGATTCATTCATTAGCTCACTGGGAAATGGAGTTCACGTATATTGCATAACAGGTAGAAACAGTACTCAAACCCGGAACAGACGCACTCACCGACATCTTCGATCGTAACGGAAAGTAGAAAGAGCCGTGTCCCTCCCCGTCACCGAACTTCACATTATTGAAAACACAAATGTTACGTCCATTATCACGTTTCCGGGTAACGACAGTATGTCCTCCCATATACATCCTGAACTGGGATCCGTTCATCAATTGGTTCTTCGCCGTTCGCCAGCAATCTGTCACGAACCTGCAAAAATTGAAAAACTTTTCTTGGAATATACCTAAATTATTTTATTGATGAGTTGAGAAATCGTAAAATGGATGGCAAGGTAAACAACGGCAGTGTCACTATACGTACATGTATGGAGCTGAGAGATTGGTGACTGAGAAAAAACAGTGTGATTAAAAGATAGCAGAAATGAACTTTAACATAAAATTAAAGGCAATGGGCATAACAAGAAATACTGACGAAAATAAGACGTGTCTAATTTAAACGACATTTTTATTTATATATAATGACTGGGGAAGCAATTTAACATAATATTTGGTTAACAGTTACCTAAACAATGGCCACTAGGGTCAAGAGTATATTCTATCTTTGCAGTTTTAATTCCCTCTCCTCAGTAATACAAATATGGACGCAACGCGATCTCCTTGGAAGTAAATGGCAGTGACATTTCTTGAAAATCACAATTTCTTTAAAAGAAAATATAGCTGTTGAGGTCATAATTTTATAGAATATGAAATTGCATTCAGAATGGGTCTTCGTGTTCCTCTCAGCAATCTAAGGGGCTTATCAGTGTTTGGTGTTTGTCCCTCTAATTAACATAGGCCTTCTGCTCAGTGCGCCTATGCTGCTAACGCGATGGGCAAAGATCTCGACATATTTGCAGTCGGGGCCGTTTCTCTCAATCATATTTAGCACGCAAGTAAACAAAAGTTGAAATAAATTAATATGTTTATACATTGATCCATTTAAAACTTGAATTGTTTTATATTTCATTGCTGCCATGATTATGCCAATCAAAAATACTAATTATATATATATATATATAGTGGAGCAGAAGAACGCACGTTTTTCACATAAGGATAATTTTATTGATTTTCAAGAAAAAACCTTCTTAGTTACACAAAAATAAGGTATTTTAATGCATTTTTACTACATTACTTACGGAAAATAATGTCAGATGACGGCCTTCTTGCTGGACACACATTTGGAGCCTCTCCACAAAATTATGCATCCCATTCTCCAACATGTCTTCCGGCACAGCTGTGATTTCTTGACGAATGGAGAGTGTCGGCTCCTGGATCGTTCGTGGTTTGTTCGTGTACACTCTTGCCTTGAGGGATCCCCACAAAAGAATGTCACAAACCAATAGATTAGGAGAGCGCTGGGGTAAAAAAATCACCGAAACGGGAGATCACATGTTGGGGGAACATGCTTCGAACAACTTCCATTAACGCTCTCGCCGTGTGAGCTGTGACACCATCCTGTTGGAACCACATTTGTCTCATGTTTACCCGACGCCTTAGGAGTTCTGGATGCAGGAAGTTGTTTAACATGTCGACGTAACGCGCCGAAGTCACTGTAACTGCAGTCTCCCCCTTTTCAAAAACGTAAGGCCCAACGATCCCCTATCTATCGGCTTGTGACTTTTTTGTGGGGACACCTCAAGGCATGAGAGGACACGAACAAACCTCGAACGATCCAGGAGCTGAAACTTTCCATTAATAATACGTATAATAATAATAATAATAATACACATCTTAATTTTATAACCTCTGTCTCATCGATGGTACAAAAACGAAGTATATACAGGGAAATATTAACAGCAGACAACGCGCAGGCGCATACCACTGAGATGCAGAACGTAGTCCGTGTGTAACGGAAGTGAGCGCAATGAAAAAGCAACTGAAAGTGACATTACGACATTCCTGCCGACTAAGAGACGTAAAAATTATAATCTGCCTGCGATATTAGAGTGATAAGAGATTAACTGAAAAGAAATTATGTAAACATTGCATGTAGTAAAGGCTGACACTGGAAGGAGGGCTCACCTCTTCCACTTTCCTGAACACTCGAATGAGATTTTTGCCCACAAGCTTCTGCAGATCTGCTTCCGTCCAGCGACCGGAGCCCAGCAACTCCGCCAGGAGGTAGGGGTAACGCGACACGTCCTCCAAGCCCAGAGGTGTGCTGCAAACACACCAGAGGATGCCCAATTTCAACATAAAACACTGAATTGAAACAGCTGTAGAAATGGTACGTAAGAAAGTACCGCCATGCACACGTGATGGAGAGTGGAAACACAGAGTGATAAGTGGTTAACTTCACGCCCCGGCTGATTTACCCCAGGAGGAAGAGCCCGCGGTACCCATTGGATAGGAGATTGGTGATCCCGAGAGCCGGTCTAGGCGCTATGAGTACAGAAAAATCTTTTACACTTGCCGGTAATCGAACTCTGGCTGCCCAGCCTGTAGTCCCATATTACTCTGATCCGAAAAAAAATTAAGACTAAAGAGGAGGAGAGACAGGATCGAAAGTGAAGATAATCTTAATAAGATATTTTGTTAAACTTCGTGTGTGTTCGACATATAAGTCAGGTACATATATTATTAACTTATTTGTAGCTTAATTTACAGCGTTCCAGTAACTAGAATTCTATGATTTATTTGAGGCATTATGTTACAAGCCGGAAGGTAGCGGTTTTGATTCCCAATAAGGTCACTGGGATTTTCCACTGACCTAACACTTCCAGCCGCACTATGGCCCTGGGGTCAATTCAGTCTCTAACAGAATCGAGTACCAGGAAACTTCCTCGGGGATAAAGGGCGGCCAGCGCGTAAGGCTCACAACCTCACCGCCATCTGTGAGCCGACTGCCTAGAAAACGTGGGAGCCCTGGAATCTCTCAACACTTTGGGTCTCCACGTCCTGTTACAGGAATAGCTTTATCTTTTTATTGTAATGACCAGTAACTGATATAAAAGACGACGGACCTAGTGTAATTTAAGATATTACTTTGATTGCATTCACTTTGAGCCCTGAGCAATACAACGAAGAACCTGCCAGAAGTATCAGTATCCCAACAGGTATTCGAACCTTGCACCTCCGGAATACCGCTTGAACTAACTCGCTCGGCGTATACAGGAAGCATTAGCTGTTTGCTCCAAATTCAGAGGCCGTGCTGACATATTGTCCAATTCATAATTCAACTTCAACCTATAATTGCGCAGTTCATTATCTCATGGGTTGAAAATCGGTCATTGAACAACCCAAGAATCTGTTAGTCTGACGTTCTCAGAATGTGACTATGAAGAGTAGAGTCTTCTGGTTCGTAACGCCGTGTAGTTCGGTAGAAGTCCATTGACGTTTAAGAGGAATACAGGGCCTCCATCTTCAGTGTCGAAGACTAAACTAAATTAGAAACAAAATTATGCAGGCGAAAATGAGTCTTCTGCTACCTCCGAAACGTCAGAGTTCTTCCACCGAACTAAATGCCGTTACAATCGAAATGGTCGCACTTTCAACACACCAATCGATCTTTTAGTGTCGTGGTAACTTTACACAATAAAGAACGAAGGCTGGAATATTCTGAGCGCTACGAATTCTTCCTCTCTCTGACATTAAAGTTATTTGAAGCATTGTTGTGTTTATAAACAAACTTTGTTAAAGCGCAGTCTAGTGGATGAAATGTGAAGCTACTGTAGACGGTACGTTTACAACAAAATTGTGTGTCCTCTCGTGCCATTCATCATCCATCAGCGCGTCACATGGATCATCAACCTGGCCAAAGTGCTAAAACGAGGTCATAGAAGCTCCGCCTCTTCTTGAGAATTCGCTTCCGCTGTGCGCCGACGCGGAAACTGGTCGCGTCCCCTCGCTTTTATAACTACGTTGCGTTCTTACAAAACATTCCAGTCCAATACAGGATCAGATGATCTGCGGTATAAAGAAATTCCTTTTCTGTTAGTCCAATATCCCAAACTACAAGCGTTATAACAGCGGTATAGCAAGTTCCCGACTAACCCCTTCTCGAGTTAAAAGAATCCATACATATTCAAATACGGATCTTTTTAAGTATTTCGACTTCTACGGTCATTAGTACCGGATGTACGGCACATAAATATTCCATTGCAGCATTATGTGATGTTGTATTTGGAATTGTAACGGATTTTATCAACGCGTTGCCAGGCAACAGCTCTGTAAACACGGTCCAGCACGCAACAATAGATGTGGCTGTGTTTTCTATGTCGTCCATACATGCCCAGTGCTGGCAACAGACCAATGAACTCGCAGTCTGACATGTGACACGTGTTTTCTCTTTACAGTATTAGGCATTTTAAATGTTTATGAACATGTACAAAATTATAATAGGAAAGAGATCATTTTGGAGAACTAGGCGCAGATGGGTGATAATATTTAAACGCACCTTAAAGAAATAGAGAGTAAGTTCGTGGCCTGAATTCATCTGGTTCGTTACATGGAATAGAGGAGTCCTGCTTTCAACACTATAATGAATCTTGGGGATCCATAAAAGGCTGGTAACTTTTAGACCATATGAGCGAAAGCTGACTTCGCAAGAAGGATTCTGTCCCGTGGAACAGCATTACGATTTTTTCTAGAGGCTCCGTATACTTAGAAAATTCTAATGTCTGACTTCAGGACATGCGTCCAAGTGTGATTTACCAACCTCGGAATAAATCAACAAAGTTTCCTCATACATGAGAAACATGCCACTACATCTGCACTGGTATACGAGTATACGCGTGTCTCTGTCTCTCCGTGCTGGATTTGCATCTCCGGGGAAATTACTTGGGCGAAGTGCATAATTTCGTGTCGCAATTCATTTCAATTGTTGCGCAGAGAGCGGTGTGCTCAAATTGAGGTACATGGTGATCATGGGAATTGTTCAGCCTTCTGTTTTAATATTGCTCCTCAAACTTCTGACACTTATAGTTACAAAATTTTCATAACCTAAAAACGTAATAAACTACATGAAACAAATCCAAAAATGCATTATTTTTGTTACAAACAACGTGTAACTTTGTTATTCCACGTTAATTAATTATTTAGAAGAAAATGGAACAGATTTTTATAGCAGCAACGCTCTGAACCTGTACTGAGGAGATACAAAGTTCGAAACTCAACCGAGCTGCCAGCTACCATGTGACGTATGTGACCAGTAAAATGTGAGTTGTGCCTTGAAATGGGCTTAGACTGCAGCCTTCCAAATCGCATTGTTCATACATAAGCACCTTTTGATAACATCCTACACCTACAACATTTAAAGAGGCTAGATAAAAGGTAAAGGAAAAGCTTTCCCTGTAACAAGCCGTGGAGGCCCATAGGGTTGTGAGAGGTCGAGACTCCCCATGTTTAGGCAATAGGGTCACAGATGGCTGTAAGGTTGTCAGCCTTACGGCCAGCTGTCCTTTACTCCCAAGGAAGATTTCTGATACTCATTTCTGTTAGAGGTTGAGTCGATCCCAGGGCCATGGTGCGGCTGGAACGATTAGGTACTTGTAAATTGAAAAAATCCACCTCATTGGAACTCGAACCCGCAACATTCCGGCTTGTAGCATAATGCCTGAACAAACTACGCTACCGTGTGCCCCTAACAGGCTAGATAAGTAACCTAAAAGTGAATAATGTATATTTGTATCTTTTTCGCTTTTTATATTTGTTTCTTCATCGCTCTTTCTATAGTCATTTTATTTTTCCTTTCTTTCAGTGTTTCCTCTTTACTTCTCCAGCTTTCTTTTCCTCTCTTCCTTTATTAAGAGTTTATTTTGACCATACGTGGAAGTCCGTCCCTGTGTCTAAACTGTTTAAAACTTACGACCGATTTCGTCAAAATTTGATACAAGAGAGTTCCGCTAAACTCTTTTGATAATCATTACGATTACCCTAGGTAAATAAATTATTTCTCCCTGTATTCCATAAATTTTCGTACAGAATTTGCTGAAATTTGATATGGCAGACTACCAAAAAATTTATGATTCTCCTGTATCTCATAAAATGTTTGACAGATATTGCTGAAATTCGATATGAGAGATCTACACTAAACGTTATTGGAAAATTGCGATTTTCAACAATATTGATTCAGAATAAACGGTAGTTTGCATAAATTAAAAATCAACATTACCATGTAAACCATAAATCATTCCACAAACTTTTTTATTCGATATGCAAGACACTCAATAATACGCAATTCATTGTTCCCGTTGTTCAGCCATTTTATACAACCGCAAAGAACGCAGTTATCTCATGTGCTAAATTACTGAGTGAAGCAAAATAGACTACTGTAGGTCGCGGTGCAAGGGCCGAGAAGGCCCGTTCCTTATACATTCATACATACAAATTACTGAGTGCTGCTTGCCAATCTTGTTTCTTTCTGTTCTACAGTACTCTTTGTATCAGCTTAATATCCGAAAGGTGTTAATTCATCAGCTGACTGCTGCATTGAGAAAATACAGATCCTCAAATATTCGCTATTCAATTACCACCCTGCTCTCACATTCGACAATATTTTTATTATGCAGATGAAACGATATTGTTAATAACCCAATAATAAATATTTTCAATTACTACCTTCTTATCACATTTCGATACTTTTTATAGTATGCATATAAAGCAATGTCCTTACATAATCCAATAATGGTAAAAGGTTAAACTGTCCCTGTGCTTAACAAATTAAGCACTACACCATGAAGGCGCATGGTGGAATGGATGTATAGATCCATATTTTGTTGATTTCTGCATTAGTTTGTGGTGAGTGGTCAGCTTCACGCCCCTGCCTCTTTACCCCAGAGAAAAAAGCTCCCGGTACCCTTTCGATAGGAAGCTGGGTGGGCCGCAGTGCCGGTCTGGACGACTTGGAGAAGATAAAATTCATCCCCTTACAAGGACTCGAACTCCGACGAATCCAATAATGATCATCATTAATATTGTTAGATATGAGGTCCTCACAGCGGTGACTACGAAATAACTACCTTATGTGCTATGTCTACCGGACTACAAGGCGTCAAGTGAACTCATACTGGAGTATACATCACATCTCAGAAGAGAGGACCCTTCAGCTGCTCGTGATTTCAGAAGCTAATTTAGATCTATTTCAATATGAACCTTCAACTACGCTTCCCTCTCCTGACGACTTTCTTCTAATTATATTTCAGCATCCTTCTCGTGAATTTC